GCATCAGTCAGTGCTTAGCTATAGACTGCTTTATTCTGTGTGTTCTGAGGTTAATCTTTCCTCCGAGATCTCTCTTCTTTTTTCCCTTCTCCTCTCCCAAGGATACCACCCAACTGGAAATACAGATACTTTTGCCATGTTTGGTTTTACCACTTCACTGCCATGTGAAAAGTCCTGTAAGTGATAAACCTTTAGTAACAAGCTTCTTACTCGGCTGGTTTCTTTCTACCGTGGCAAGTTTTATCACAGGCTTACACGATCAGAACAGCCAAGTACCTTACGTGGATGCGTGGGAAATTTATTTTCATAGGTGGCAGCACTACCTGCCTCAGTCTGAAGTGCCTCTAGACAGAGGGCACTAGAAGCAGTGGGCACTACAAGCAGATCACCTCCAGCATGTCAGCACCTCAGTTTCCCATCACTGAACACCAGCAGCAGTCAGTGCATTCTTGAAAAAATTTTAATGTTACCGCTTGCTCCTGAGTGAACAGCACCAGCTATTCATGTTCAGATTTAATGGCTGACGTTGCACAGGGGCTTGAAAGCCAGTAAAATGGTGTGGAAATTTTAACATTGTCGCTGACTGTAATGAAAGCAAAATCTTCCATTGTATGTACTCTTTCACTCTTATAACCTAGAGCAGCCAATCTGGGACAACCATCTTGCAGGAGACGAGAAGCTCTCCTACCTGTTTGTCTTAAGCCAAGTAAGAAAGCCAGACTGGTGCTGGTCAGGCTGTGCAAGTTGGTTTCAGGGGTACATCATCACCCTGTCCCCTGTCTTCTCCTTCTCCTGAGGATATCAGAATGGCTGGCTCTGGGGGATTTTCCAGCATAGCCACCCGAGTTCTGCACCCCCTGGGAAGCCGAAATAGCAAAAAAGGAGCAAGATTAAACAATTTCTCATGTAAGTATGGTGGGAAACTCAGAAACGTTTGCTTTTTCATTTGATATCATGCAACATTCCCTTTAGGACGTACAGACACAGACTGATATGGAAGTTTTGTATTGATTCTTGTTTTGCTTACTGAGTTTTCTTGCCTGTTTTAAGGAAAAATGCCTGCAGTGAAACCTAGCTAGAAAGCAAAAGCGAACTAAGATTTTTAACTGAGTACACAACACCTTAAGAAATCAAAATGTTAGCTCCTGAGTGCAGGATCCTGTTGGGATTGCTTATCGGACCTTATCATTTACTAAATTTAAACAGGGCTGTCCATGTACCTCGTGCTTCTAGGGCACAAATTTGTTCAAAAGTAAAACCCTGAACAACCACAGCAGCAATGCTGCTAGGTCCTGGGGAGGCAGCTCAGGCTATATTTACTACATACCATCTGCACAGAGCCCTGGGAGACATCATGTTCCACACTGCCTGCCTGTACTACAGACAGCTTTTCTGATATGTAAACCATCACTTATCTTGTCTTTGATTCCCTCCGTGTGACCTTTTGTGGATCATGGCAATATAACATCCTTGCTGTGGCAAGCTCTGAGACTGTCTGAGGACAGGCCTCATAAAGCCTGCCTTTAACATTAATCGATCACTTTATTATGGAAGTAAATCAAAGCACTTAAACTCAGGTCTTCTGGGAGTTGAAGGTCAAACCAGGAAAAACAAACTTTATTCTGGGATGGAAGCAGAAAACTCCTTTCTGACCTTTCCATCTGTTCCTTGCCTTAGGGACGTGCCAAAAACTCGTGCTGTACTTACCTTTGGGGGAACAAGGGTGACATGGGTGTGCAAGAAGGGGCCATCTGAGCTGCTGCTCCACAGCCTGCTCCGCCCCAGGAGATGCTGATGCTCAGGTGTGCCCCTTCCCCAGGTACTCTGTGTCCACAGGATAAAAAACCTCTACTAGGCAGGCACGTGGGAAGTTGCAAAGATGTGTCCCTTCCCCAGCTGGAAATGGGATGGGAGAGCAGGAATGGTGCACAGGAGAGATACTCCCTCAGTGAGCCAAGGGCACATGGAGCAGATTCTGAGTTATGTGCCTCAGTTTTTCCCAGCCAGAATAAGGAATACTGCTTTTCCACTTTTTGAAATACTGCATTTTTTTTTCATGTTTTGTTTGCACTGCTTTCTTTAAAGAACAGAATCCTCAGCCCCAGCTTGCTTTTAGCCTTGCACCCATCAAGACCTACCATTTGAGACTGAAGTGTCTCCTTGAACTGTTTTGCTTTACCTTGCCTTGGATTTTTCAGTGCTTCACAAACACAGAGGCACACCCACATGACATAGAGGGTGTTGGTCAGTAATGAGCTTTCTAGTCAGGGGAACCTGCCAGTTTAATTTGTTTCTTTGTAAGTCAGCCATTTTTTAAACAGAAACTTGCTGACATAGTAACACGAGTGTAGGAGCTGCTTAACAACTATTTATAGTCTTTAGCATGCCAGTCGCTTTGTGGAGCGCATGAAGATATTGTCCCTGTCATGAACTGTCTGAAATTTAAACTTAAACCTGAACTGACGTGAAGGAGTATTGCTGGGAGCAGGCAGGGTGAGGAGAGGCAAAGGTTACCAAGTAAGATGATGCCACTGATCAGCTATGGAATGTTCTTATCTTAGCATCTCAATTAAAAACAAAGTAACTAAGCTTGTTTTAATGGGATTAGTGCAATGGTTGACTCATAGTACCACTCAAGGAAAAGGTGTTCAAGAAGGAAGTGATTCCCAGCTCTGGGAAGCAAGAAACTGGAATTTATGTAAAAAATGAGAAATAGGCTGCTGCACCCGAAACTGTGGATGGAGTGAGAAACATGGGGAAATACATGATAGAGAAATGAGACAGAAAATCCAGCAGAGAAGAATAATACAGAATATATGTATCTATTGCATCTATTAATGGAAGACCGAGGAAGGAAAAAGAGCACTGTCAGCTTGAAATATAATCCATTTTGTGGAGTTATGTTTTCCTATTTTTAAGTGATTTCATCTCTTTTTCTTTTATGCAATGAATCATCTGAAAAGAGCAGAGAAAGCTGACTGCACTATTAATTAGAAAGAAATTGAATTATAAAGTGCTATCAAGTACACAGCACTAAACCCTAGAATAAGTATACATATTTCCACATCTCTGTCAATTACAGCAGTATTAACAGCATTACCAGTAGCTAACAAAAATCAGAAAAAAAACATTTTCAGTATCACAGTGACCCTGGGAAAGGGAGTTGACTCAAATGTGGCATGATGCAACCAGACCATGTGAGAAAGGTCGTTTTTCTGAAGAACTCTCTGAAATGTTGCCAGATTGATTGAATAAGCATGCTGTGGGTTGCCAGGTTCAAGAGCAAGACTACATGAGTGTTCCCAGAGTGATAACTATCACTGCAGCTATGGGCACAAAAGAAAACTGTAGCTGTCCAATAAAGTACAAGTCCTTAGTTGGGGTTGCCACCGATGGAGCCATTCACAGCAGTAGAGATGGACTCCTATCCGGCAGCTCAGCATAGGAAATGTGGAGTCCACTGAAAATAAAGCAGGGATCCAGCTCTGAGACAAGCACAGCAGAATGTTTTGGCTTCATTTTTCCCCTCAGTTATGGCAGGAGCATTAAACTGAACCTGCATGATGTGATTGGGCCCCATATCTCTTAAAAAGATTTCTGGTTTGGCTTGGACAGGCAGCATCCAGATCCTGAAAGATCTCAAACTCTGGAAACACACAATTAAATGGGAAATATTTATAGCAATATTTCCTGGTGTTTTCTAATACTTTATGGGTCAAGGAAAATGTGTGCTGAATATTTTTGTATTGCCATCCAACAAGCAACCACAAAGTCCAGGGTCCAAGTAAAAGACAAAAATTATGAAAGATTTTCCCTAAACTGTCTGAAGACTCAGCAAAAGGTCCTGATGAGTTTTGCATGTTTTGAGCATTTTGAATGAAAACTTGACTTCTTGTTTCATCCCAGCAGATTTGTAGCAGTCAGTCAGTGTTGGATTGCTTCCCTGAATATTTGCATGTGTATGTAAATAATTCCAATAATTTCCCTGGACACTAATTCCAACTAATAGTTTGTTTCTGACTATAATGTATCTCTCTCTGAACATCCCATACATGCTATTTCAGCATGTAAAATACACATATTTTTTAATCTTCTCACAGACAGAATAAGAAGACATTTCAGTCAGGATTCCCATCTGGAACAATGCTCTCTACCTCCAGGATATGAATACATCTCTCTACCTGGCTGATCTGAAGCCTCACTCAGCATTCAATGCATGATTTGCTCCTAATGTGGCAGCTGTGCAAGATGTAGAGTAATTCTACCTTACCACTCATAGACCCCAGATCTCGATTTCCCCCAAAGTACTTGAGACCAAAACCTGAACTTCCCAGTACGTCTGCTGAAAGTTCTTTTCCCCTGTGTTTGCATCAAAGTGTTCAACTGTGCTTGAGGCCAGCACTCCCAAGAATATTTACAAACTTTACAAAGCTGACCTGTGGCAAAAAATCCCCTCCAGGTGCTGAAGAATTCACTGACACACCTTTGCTTCATGAGCACATCCATGTCAGACACCATTTTGTCAGAATGCCCCTCTGCTGCCATCCATCACATGGCAACAACTTGTAGTGGAATATTGGTGGGAAGGTTCAACCCCTACTGCCGTACCACCAACATCTACCTCTGACTGTGTGGGCCAACATAATGAAATAGGAGGCAGTACTTTCAAAACCGCCTCAATGCTAGCACTTTAAATTGGAAAAACTAAGCTTAAAGATTGGCTTTCATATTGGCAGTGTGTAATGACGATGCTTGCAAATGGACCTGCTCGTACACCTATGTACTGTAGCTCCATTGGAATAAAATATAGCCAGGAGGGCTATTTTCATGATATACTGCATTCATAATCAATTTTTATATAATCTGTTTCTCTTCTTAAGAAAAAGAACCTTTCAGAAAACTTAAAATGCCATTGTTTAATGAAAAATATAGAATAACTAACTTGGCAAATGTTGTATGTAAAATTTCAACAGAAACCATAAATTATATTAAATGCCCAATAAAAATGTTCAATCAAAAGCTCATTTTAAGATACATTGTTAATGAACTGCATGAAATGATGCTTAATCAAAACCCGACACCTTGTAGAGGAGAAGGATTCCACAGGACCTCCGGAGCACTATTGTTCTGAACGAAAGATAATGAGAGAACACTGTAATTAATAATCTGTACTCCCCTGGCAATCTCCGGGGAATTCCAATTTCTAAATGAACTGCACTGTTTTTCAAGAAAGCAGAAATTATGCTGCCTGATACCATTAATGCCTTGAATTTGATCAAACATTAAGACATCATTTGTCAGGCAGATTCTCTTTTCTCTGAAATTTCAATGGTTCCTCTGTTCAGAGTCACTGTGTGAAAAAGAGATTTTCCCTGTAAAAGTTGATTTTGCAAAAGCAACATGACATCTTATAGTTCTGTAATTCTCAAATTAGATAAAATAAGTTAAAGAAAACATCTGTGAAGAGTTCTTCACCATACCAGTATCTGTGAGAGGAATAGTGTGGGAATATTGGTTTCTTAGTTGGTCCCCTTTCAATTGTGCATATAATAGTCACCATATATAAATTTCTAAATTTTCGTAGACCAAGACATGTTGCGTTGTGGTTGATGCCCTGTCCCTGGAGACTTCCAAGGCAAGGCTGGATAAGGCCTTGGGCAACCTGATCTAGCTGTGGTGTCCCTGTTCATCGCAGGGGATTTGGACTAAATGGCCTTCAGATGTCTCTTCCAACTCTAAGGATTCTATGATTCTGTGATTCTAAGATAGAAAACGTACTCTACCTAGAAGAGTAGGAGCCAGGGGAAAGTACTACTCTAAGATTCAACATAAGCAAGCAGTGTGCGCTTGCAGCCCAGAAGGCCAACTGTATCCTGAGTTGAATCAAGAGAAGTGTGACCAGCAGGTCAAGGGAGGTGGTTCTGCCCCTCTACTTTGCTCTTGTGAGTTCTGGGACTGGAGGAGGGTAGATTTATACTAGATACTAGGAAGAAATTATTTGCAGTCAGTGTAGTGAGACTCTGGAACAGGTTGCTCAGTGGAGTTGTGGATGCCTCCTCCCTGAAAGCATTCAAGGCCAGGATGGATGAGGCTGTGAGCAACCTGGTTTAGAGGAGGGCTTCCCTACCTATAGCAGCGGAGTTATAACTAGATAATCTTACAGGTCCCGTCCAACCCAAATCATTCTATGACTCTATGATTCTATGACTACAAGATCAGTGTACAAAATTGCTTGAAAATTCCTGATTACAGTCAGCACTGATAGTTGTAAATACATAGTTTCAAATTCAGTTCTGAGTATATTATTTTCCCCTTAAATCTTCCTTCTTCTGAGAAACTTGGAAACATTCATTTTCTAGCATTGCAATTTTTCAAAACAGTCAAAAGCTGCTATTTTTATTAATCATGATATTCATTTTAGCATAAAGATGGGTTTACTGAATGGTAGAGGAAGATGTAGTCTCCTTTCTCTTCAGTACTGCTCCCATCCTAAGCTGTACTCCCATTCACTCAGCCCAAGACACTTAGACTTAAAAGAATGCAAACACCCCATCGCTAACAAGCATTTCCTAATAGGAAAATCAAGTTACTTTTCGCTTGTGATGTCCTAAGAACCATGAACTCCAGAAATAAGCTGGGGTTAGGTTTAGCAGCATGTTGGTGCTTTGGGTACCTCGCAGAAGCCTTTTGCTTTAGGGTCCTGGCATGTCCATGGTCACGTCCATGCTCCTGCTCCTTTATTACTGGCAGCACTCCATCCCCTCAGGCACATTGGAGGAGCAGTCCCACGTTCATGCCAGCTGATGGGGTGCGAGGTGGGAGAGCCCCATGGAACAGACATTATGCTGGAGACTTCCACGTCTGCCAGCATTATGAAAACGCATGCAAAAAAAAAAAAAAAAAAAGATTTATATTAAAGACAGTTAGATGTGAAATGTTCCTACTATGAAAAGCTGCTTTTAATACAGTTTCTACTGGACTGGAGACAGATGTACTGAAATGAGCAAAACAGGCCGATCAGAGAGGCTGCCCAGGGTATTGTATGGCTGCACAGGGCAGCCCTCTGCATGCAGGAGGATCTGTGCCTTGGTGTGGAGAAATAGTTTGGATTATAAAGGTTAGAGAAGGACAGTGGGATGTAGCTTTTGCTGACAGAGGCATTACTATGCCAACAGTATGCAACATCTCATTCTCCTTGTTTCCAGTGACAGGAACAGCACACAGGGCCTTGTTCCTGAGGAGACCGGTATGGGGCTGATGCAGATGGAGGAGCTGCTTTCTCCTCTATTGCTGAAGCAATATGGGGCCAAGCCCAGCTCTCAGCCCCACAGGAAAATGTTGCTGGTTCCTCCGTGTTCCTGCCAGGGGATCATTCCTTCAGGTAATGGAGCACTTGTTTCACAGCAGAATGGGGGCTTGAGAAGGAAACACATGTGGAAATTCAGGAAATAGAGAAAAAGTCAAAGAATCAGCACACAGCTGATCTTTTTTGTTTTATGATAATGTGTTTTTTGTTTTTTGTTTCCCTTTGTTTATGTTGCTTATAAATGAGTACGTCCACACAGAGAAATGTGAAGAATTTAAACATGTAGCCAACACGAGACACCAAAATATGCCTGTTGGTGGGAAGGAGAACACTAGATTGAATTATAGAATCATAGAATCCTTAAGGTTGGATAGACTACTAAGATCACCTAGTCCAACCATCAGCCCATGCATGTGACCATTCTAGACCAAGTATGTCCCCAGAGCCACATTTACGCTTTACTTGAACACCTCCAGCAATGACGATTCCACCATTCTCTCATACCTCAAAACTGTTCTTTGGCAAGAAGGCCAACTTTCTGCTCTGTTCAGCTGTGAGATTTTCAGGTCTTTCCTTCGGTTTCCCATATAGTAAATTGGTCCCATTGTTATCTTTATTCCTTAAATATCCAATATAATTACTCTTTATAGGCAAACAGTGTTCTTCCCAACTAATCATTTAAATGGATTTTCAATTTTTTGTCTTTTACAGTAATGCACATCACTATACTTATTTTTCAATTTCGGATATGATCTGTGTTCCTCTTCCATTTTTAACCTTTATTTGTGATTTTTTTTCCATACCTTGCAGCATCTTATAAAATATAAAATAAAAATTGTAATGAAACTTTCAGAGGTTTCTTTTCCTTGTGGATTTTAGGAGATGCAGCACTGTGCTGAACTTCCAGTCTGCATTTTATTTCTTCCAAGAAGGTGCGAAGAATAACAATAAGCAGCTGCCTGCCTTTGTAGGCTGACAAATGTAACATGCTCAAAGGTCCTCTCACCTCAGTTTTGAGTCACAACTTGATTTCTCTGGGGAAGAGGTGTGGACATTATGGTATTTTGTCATTCTTCTTTGAATATGAACATTCTCTAAAAATTTATGTAAATACACGCTGCTCGTACAGACTTAACTGATCATTTAAGTGAACCAAAAGATCTTGCATTTTGACTGCAATGATTTGTTGTTGCCAACATAGCCCCACATTGCTGTGCTGTGCTTTTTTTTTAGGAAAAATGTACTGCATTTTGGTGTTTGCGGTTGTCTGGGCCTCTGCAGTGATTTCATGACATGCTTTCTCATCTGTCTTGTTCCACTCCCTTTTTCCTGCCCATCAAGATCTTCATTACAACATTCTTTCTCTTAGTCATGTTCATTTCTTTTAGGTGACATGAGCTACTTACACCAACCAGGGAGCTTAACAAGATATGATCAGAAAATTCTGGTTCTAAGCAGTTCTGTGCCTCTTCCTCGATTGCGCAATATGGCTGCTTAGGGTTAACTGCTCCTTACAGGTACCAGCACAAACAAAGCAAAACCTAGCAGTGAGCACAGCTGTACAGTCACCTAGCAGCATGTAGGGTACTGTCCTCCATGGAAGGAATGGCTCTACAAGTGAAGGATTTATGTCTTTCACTTATCAAGTGAGTGGAATCAAGGGTAAAAAGGGAAATAGTACTGTCTGATCTCGGGTGAAGTACAGGAGGATATTTGGAAGCATATAGTAGTTGAAGAGAAAAAATAGCTGATTACAGATTATTAATAGGTTGTTTCATTCTGGTATTACTATTAATAGACCTACTATTCTTGTCGTCCCAAAGGTAATCTTAGTTTTCAAAAGCAAACCAGTCTTTAAGAGTGTAACATCTGAATGTACTTACACAATGGTTTGGAAAAGAACTGATATTACTAGGTGAGCTTTGTGCTTTTACTGATACATGTGAAATGCTGGGCATGGGGGACACATTCCATGAAAGTTTATGAGTCAGTCATGTAAAAATTCCATTTGAATTTAATCGAGGTTCAAATGAAGTAGATTTAAATAAACCAGTTAAAACACACAGAATGGCACACAACTCCACTCCAAATAAATGTCTAAACAGAAGAAAACACTTCACTGAGTCTTCATGTAGATTACAAAAAAAAAAATAAAAATCTAATGCCAAAAGCTAACAGACAATGAAGCTGGGAGCAAAAGGAAGAAGCACTAGAAAGTATGTGAAATGACAAAACACAGATGAATGCCTAAAAAGTCTGAGAAGATGTAAATCTGCAGATCTCGGAGAGTCAACATGATGGGCTCAGGGTCACAGTACAGAAGGAATGATGCAGTGGATGTCTGATGCTGCATGAATAGAAATATTATTAGGTTCAGCTAAAATGCACACTGTGTTTACAAAAGTTACTAGGGAGAAATGACACTGGGATAAATATTAGTTGATATTTAGTGCACATGTTATTTTAATATCCATAAAAATATTTGAACAGGTGAAGCTATTCAAGCTTATCACAGTCATTGTCTGAAAGCTGGCCTCCTTTTGCAGCTTAGTCACAAATGTGCAAGATGTGCATGTGCATTAAAGAAGATAAAATATTTACAATTCTAAATTGCAGATACAAAGTTCCACTGCAGCTTGCTTTCAAACCGTGCCTGAGTCTTAAATTGATCGTGTAGATATTAAGACTGGGAACCATCTGACTTCCAGAGCTACCAGCATGCATTAAGCCAGAAGATATAATGGAAGCATACAGATTCATTTCATAAAGCCCAGCAGTTTCCTGGGGGATATAAGATTAAAGTGAATCCTCCACTATGATCACTATGAAATACTCCTCTTGCACTAAGACAGATTGACTAGCAATACTGCTTGAGACTAAAAAACAGACAAAAGCTCCATGCTAAATATAGAAAAAGGAATGCACAAGAGAGCTGTAGCTACGTGTAAGTTCATGATATCTGAAAATGGTCCTTGAGCAAAAATATTATATGGCTGTATCAGATTGTATATACATTCATATATGCAGTGTAAGTTCTACTAAATATTGAAGTCGAAGCATCTAAGTATAGCTCTATTTTGATACTCAGTGTATTAAATTCTTAAATCTTATTGTTGGTCTATATTCTATTTTTTCTTTGCCTGAACTTTCCCAAGGACACCATGTCTTAGAGACATTCATGGCAATGCTGCCACTTATGCTGGACCCCAACACCATTGCTCTAGCTAGCTCACATTCCTTCATCAGGTGATAGCACCATTCAGTACTCCTATTTTTCCACAGATCCATACTTGTACACATTCACTGTTTTCCTTTATGATATTCTAATCAGACTGAGCTTTTAGATCTATCATATTATTTACAAGGCCAAGCTGAGCCCTATCGTACAGTACTAGTCACCATCACCTCCGTGAAGCTCCTGCAGAAGGATCATGCCTGCAAGTAAGTGAAATCCCGGACCAAAAGTACATGTTTATAAAAATACAGATTAATAGAGAATTCATCTACATAAGGGGAATGGACGGGACTCTAAGCAATCTGATCTAGCTGTAGGTGTCCCTGTTCATTGCAGGAGAGTTGGACTAGGTGACCTTTAAGGGTCCCTTCCAACTCAAATGATTCTGTGATTCTACAAAATGGGTCCAAGAGGGCAGTCAGCAGTTGATACAAACAGACTTCTAATTCTCGTGAAAGCATGCTGTACGATAGAAGTATGCCAGGATATTTCTGCTGTCCTTTCGTCAGTAAATTACGCCTGGATTTTAAATAAAATTTCATTAAATTTGGCAGAGTAATGTCCGGTCCCCTGAGAATGATGATATGTTTATGGAAATAGTGCAATGGAGATAACAGCAATGGAGAGAATCAAAGATTCAGGGACAGATATGCCAGCTGCTGGCACCTGAAACAGACTATGGAAGAGCATAATAATACAGAAGAAGCACTTGAGGTAGGCATTGAATTTAGTATAATAAAAGGTTATATTACGTAATATAACTAAGGGTTTAATCTAAACCAGATCACGAGTTGTGACTTTCTAGATATTTTCTTCAGGTATGAATTAAAAAAATGTTTGTGTACATTGCATTTTCACATGGGACTGTTGTCTCAAATCTGTGCTGGTCCTAAACAGAGGAAGGATGGATAACAAATTTATCTGCACAGATGAAAGATTGGTTGGTTCTATGTTCACTTAACGATCATGGACGAGTACAAATCAGATTTAAATTACAAGTTCATTTGAATCCACCTGTTTCAGATTGTCTTTCACGAATCTTTGTCTTCAGATTAAATAAGATTTGACTCAAAATTTTTTTTGTTTTCAATCCACAAGAGAAATGAAAAAGCAGAGGAAAACTCTGTTATCACTTTGTGTTGCTTGTACTCTAAAGCCACCTGAAGGCTTGAATATATGAATATTTGCTCTGAAATTGACATTAGATGTTCCTGTTGAAAGGTAAAGTGTAGTATGGTGACATATTAACAGAGCACAGTCTAAAACCTGTCTTAACTGTAAATTCAAGAGGATCTGCTCTCTGAAGCCGGCCCTGAGCTC